AATTCGTGTTGAATTTCGTTCTTCTGGCACATGCACAACACGTTTTCTTAATAAATCCGAGCGTTTGAGTTTTCTTGAAATAGTAGGCTGAGACATGTTAAAGCCTGCTGCAGAAAGATTTTCTTTTATTGCTTCTTGCGTGCAAAGATTGTTTTCTTGTACGCATAATTCGATAATATTTTTTATTTGAGCGTTTATAGGTCTTTCACCTCGTTTTTTATCAGAAAACGACTTAAATGCAGTCATGTCGTCGAATTATCCTCTGTTTAACTTAACGACAAAATTTTGAAGTGTGCGCTTCGATAAATTAAGAGAAGTGGAAATTCTTGTTGTAGATTTATTTCTTTTAATTAAATGCTTAAGCATTTTAATGTGCTCTTTTGAATCATTTTTCCTTGTTTTACGATTGGTACTACTATTTTCTATTCCATCCATAGGGATGTATAATTTGATATTAATAATATTTATAAATAATTAAATTTAAATCTAGATAAATGAATAATTGGATAAATAATTACTTAATCAATCAAGAAATTTAATTTTTTTTTTTTTTTCTTTTTTTTTTTCATATATTTTTTACAACTACAAAGCTTTAACAATACATACTTTTATTACAAATAGTTTTAACAATATATACTTTTATTACAAATGCAGTCAAAATGCTTTGAAAATAACTGAAATAATACTAAGATATATTTTATGTACAGAGTAATAAAATAATGTAAAATAGTTTTTTAGTTTATATTTTGAAAAGACAAAAAAAGTCTTAAAAAGGGAAAAATTAAACCTTTAGTTATGTAGTCAAGGGAAACTCGCAGAAAACTGTGTAAAGTCTTGTCATCGAGAACCCTTTTTTTAAACAATTTCATGAGATACTCATAAATATTTTATTCTATAATTTTATTATATAATATATTATATGATAAAATTACAAAGAACTAATACTAAATTAAATAAACTATCATCGAAAACAAAGAACTAATACTAAATTAAATAAACCATCATCGAATGTAAAAAGTCTTCGTTTTAAGTATTCTTAACCTCGTTTACCTGGAAATAAGAAAAATTTGTTTTGAAAAAATAAACTGTTTTTTCAAAACAAATTTCTTAAATGATTTTTATTTGTTCAAATTGCTTTTTTACAATTGAAGACCCCGGTGCAAAAACGATGTAACTCCATTTTTACAAATTGTTCAGGAGAGGGAAAAAACTGATTAACTTTGAAATTTTTATATTCTCTCAATTTTTTACACAAGTTCTAAGTAGTTAAGTATAAAATGAATGTTTATTTGAAATTTTGTTTTTGTATCATCAATACTAATGACAATATAAAAAAAAAAACTCATGGAGTTAGCTCGTTTTTGCACAAAGCAAATAAAATTAAATTTGTTACTATCAAGATCCGACAAAGCAAGACTAGAAATATCAATAATACCCCAAAAAAGTTTCATAAGCGCTATATTTATTCATTTACTAAGTTAAATTTCCTAAAAAATGTATTAAATAGGCTTTAGCTGTTTTCTTGTGGGTGATTCTTTTATTTAAATCCAATAAAAAGATTACCAGAAATTAAAAATAACAAACAAGCACATTTTATAAATTACATACTGTATTTCATTATTTAAAATAATATATCACAATAAAAAAAATATTTTAGTCTGTGAAGCTATCCTCAGAAAGTGGACTATCGTGTTCTGCACCCTGGCATCATTTTGCCCTTTTTTGCCAACTGTTTCATCATACATTAAAAAATAAGACTTTTTAGAACTGGCTGCGTATATACAAAAATTATATTCCCAAAGCTGGCGTTTGAAAAAAAATATCACCATTTACCAAGTGAGGCAGGGGCATGTTTTGCTGATAGTCAAATATTAATAGCTCTACTTCTTTATTACTTGTCTTTACTTCAGTAATATCAACTTTCATTTGTGTGTAGAAGTAGCTGGCTTTTTTTTCATGCACTTCTTTTTTAGTACAAAAAACCTTTTTAACCTCAATGACTTCTTCTGCTGCAATAAGATTATCCAATCGCTCACATGTCTGGCAGGTATCAGATCAAGGCTTACCAAATGAATAGTTAAACTGTGTTATGAAGTGACAATAAAAATAATCATACGTAACTATTGGCTCAATAAAATCTTGTTTATTTTCCAAACTGTTATAAACAGCAGACTCATATTTTTGCAGATACAGTTTGTGCATTTTTACAATATTTAAATCAGGAGACAAATACCATTTATGTTGGTTGTTAGTTCTGCTGTAATGAGATGTTCGCTTTGGAAAAGAGTTGATGTGATCATCTATTTGGTATACAATGTCTTCAGGTATCATGTTGGGACGGTTTCTGTGTTTTCCACGGTTATCTCTTGGAGCAGGAATATTTTCTTGCAAATTTTTAACAATACGTTCAACCCTTTTCCCACTCACTCCATATATTGCACAAAAGGCTATTTTACATACCCTCTTTGTTTCTTTTCCCATTTTTATTGTATATACACAAGAACATGAACGTTTTGGGCCGTTACCAGAGTTAGGCCTACGTCTTTTAACTGACTTTACTTGAATTTGTCCTCTAATAAAAACATCCTGTTTTTCTTTATCTGCAATGCTGTTGAAAGTTTCTAAAAGCTGCAACTTCACAATATGTGATATTTTATCAAAACATTTTGTCCTACAGTTGCAAGGGTTTCCAGTTTTTCTCGCCTGCTTATGAGTTTTTTTACTATTCTTGAACCCTATGTAAGTCTTTCCTTCAGCTTTCCTTTTCTTAGCAATATTTCGTTCCCAAGCATTACAATTTTTGATGCGTTTTCCTTGTAAGTTTTATTTTATTTACTTCAGAGTCACTTTCAGAAGTACTTTGTATTAAGGTTGAAATATCGGCACTTGCATTAAAGACAGAAATGCTACTTAGACTAGACATAGTGCTGTTTAGGACAAAATTTGTGTCTTTAACCGAATTGTCAAATATACTGCTGTCAGTTGCAATACAAATAGCCATATTATTTCTTCTAATAAATAATGTCCATTAGGTACTTTAATTGACAATTATATTTATACCATACTGTAATGCAGTATAAGACTTGAATAAACACTACAAATAATTCAACCAAACTTGCATGTCTTTCAAAATCACTAATAACGCTTGAAACTTCAGGCGAAACAACTGAAAGTTCGATCGTTGCGTTCTTATGATACCTTTTTCCTGAACAGTTCAGGATTAATTTAGATCAACAGTTACTGTTGATATAAATTAGTCCTGAACTAAACTAAAAAAGACAAAACGCACGTACCTGTAACAAAACGAACTTTTAATCTTAATTTTTCGCGTTATAAAAGAATGTGCTCGGTAATGTTGAAAAATTTAAACACCCAAGAGTTAGTTAATAATTTGATTTCAAAAGGAATTTCTGTGGAAGCGACTGCTAAATTGTCGAGTAAGTATTTACTACATATAAAATTAGTTTTAAACAATGCATAAAACAAATTTAATTAGTTGAAATAATTTTGAAAATGTTATCTTTCGTAAACTTACTTTTTAAAGGTGAAGATATTGACGGAGATGCATTTGTGCAAATGAACTCTGTTTTGTTTCATTGTATTGAAATAAAAATGAGTCAAGCTATAAAGCTTCAGTTTGTTATTGCAGCAGAAAAATTGAACTAATAATATTATGTACTTTTTTTTAAGGATGTCAATGTGTTGTTACCTTTGCCCCGAAGATTTTTCAACTGTTTCTTTTTACATTTATCACTTGAGGAATGTTCATCTTTTATTTGAGCCTTGTCAACTTCGATGTAATGTCGGTGGTTGTATACGATTGTTTACTACATATAATATGCTAAGAAAACATATAAATAAAGATCATACCAGTTTTGTAGTTAATATTGATCGAACATTTAACATAAGTTGTGAAATTTCAGTAACACCTAATTCTGAAGCTAAAAGTAATATTAAAATAAACAAAGGATCTGAAAAAAAAAATTGAAGATGTTGCCTCACCTATTGTTGATAAATATGGCATATCAAAAGCAGCATTAAAATTTATTATGGCTTTAATGTCTTCCAGTTCTATTCCTTTAAGTACTTCAGAGTTTGTTAAGAACTGTTCATAAAACCGTATTGAAGACATACTTATTTACTAGGTAAAACAGTTTCAGTATTGGAAACATGTAGGTGTGAGAAGCATTTAATAGACAACTTAACAGAAGAGTTTAACTGATGGAAAACACCTTTTAGTGGGATTGACTCACAACATCGAATATTATCATATTTGAAAAATAAAGGCCTGTACGTTGAACCAGTACCACATTCAATGGGTGAACGATGGAATACAAAACGTGACAGAAAGAATAAAAAGCAAATACAAGTCAAAGTAAAAGATTTGTTTTATTACATACCTATTGAAAGCACAATAAAGCTTGTGTTGTTACACCCTGACACCATGAATATGTTAAAAGTAGAGCAAATATCTAATTTTAAATTTGTCGAAGATTGGTTTTGTGGTGAAAGTGGTAAAAACTTGGCATATGCCAAATTTAAGTTTCCTAAAAGTTTCCCTTTGTTTATTCAAATATACTTCGATGAAGTAGAGACCACAAATCCTCTTGGATCAAAAACAGGCATTCATAAACTTGGTGCCTTTTATTTTGTGATAAAGAACTTTCCTCATGCAGCAAACTCATCCTTGAACAACATTCATATGTTAGCATTAACTCACGCAATAGACATAAAGAAATATTCAGCAGAGCCAGTGATAAAAGTGATTGTAAATGAATTGCAAAAACTTCACGACAAAGGATTTGATATTTTTATTGAAGGCCAAAAAACTAACTTTAGATGTTTTCTAACCCAAGTTGTTGGAGACAATTTAGGTCTGCACTCTATAATAGGATATATGGAAAATTTCAGTACTGTTTCTTTTCCATGTGACATGTGTATGATATCAAAAGTTGACATCCAGCATGTTTTTAAAGAAGACAAACAAGTTCTATGAACAGATGTTTTATACAACTCAAGTTCAGCAGATGCAACGAAGGGAAATTTCTAATAAGAATTGTGGAATTAAATGGTTAAGTTGTTTAACTGAATTGCCTTATTATCATTCTGATTCAAATGATTCTGCAGACATAATGCATGATATTTTTGAAGGAGTTATTTTGTGTGAAGTTAAATTGTTTCTTTATCATGTGCTATATGACGTCAAATATATGTCCATTGCAGAACTGAATAGATGCATCAAGTTTATGGATTATGGTATTGTCTGCAGCTCAAAACCTAGTACTATTAATGAGTCACGTATGAAAAGTACTGACTCTTTACTAGGTCAACACTCTGCTCACATGCTTACAATGTTTATTTATTTGCCACTTATTTTGTCTGGTGTTATTGATAAAGTAGATACACAAAAGTGGAAACTTTACCAAATCTTAAAACATTTGTGTGATGTAATTTTAACAATGTGAACAAAATGTTTTTTTCACATTGATCAGATTTTTGTTCATAGTGAAGTTTTTTTTTTTTAGTAAATTTTTTCACAACAAATTGGTCCACAAATACTGCAATCTATCTTTATCTTACTGTTGTTTAAAAATAAATTGTGAATTTATGCACATTATTTTGAATCATCAATTGTGTCAAGATAACTTTCTATACCTATCCCATGAAATATCTGGTGATATTGTAAATATTTATTATATATAGTTTTATATTTTCTATTAACTTCTATGGTAAAAACAATCTGTTTATTATAAATATAGTTACATACGTACATATATATACAACCCTCAGAATTAGAAAAATAATATTAGTCGGCAATAAGCAAATAATGATTGAACTGCAAACCTTGAAGTTCAGGAGTTAGGTAGGCATGTCGACCTGAATTCTGAGGGCTGTATATTTATATATGTATATATATATATATATATATATATATATATATATATATATATATATATATATATATATATATATATATATATATATATATATATATATATATATATATATATATATATATATATAAAGAGTAAGAAAGAGATATTTTTAGTAATTTTGAAAGTATAGCAGTTTGTAAGTTTAAGTAAATTGAATTATTTGTTATGTTTTAGGAACAATCCACAGACTATGTGCAGAATGATTGTTCACAAACTGATTTCACAATTGCAAATAATCATGTTTCACTTAATCAGACTAGCTCTGTATCAAATTCCAATCCCTTTTCAGATTCAACATATTCATGAGATAGCAATGTTTTTCATACTCCGTGTCCAGTAATTCGAATAGACGATGTCAAATTTGTAATTTTTTAATATAACTGTTTTTAAAACTATATGGACTAATTTTAGTTTCTAAAAGTATTTTCAAAAAAGTTCTCCTTTTTTAGGATGTTCGTAAATTGCTTGATAAGCATCAGACAGGTAAACTTGTCATTGTTGAATATGAGACAACTGGAATGTTACTTAAGTACAGATTTGAAATGGTCATATTCTTGTTAACATTAAAGTAAATTGCACAAAAAGAAAATAACACCTCATGGACATATTGAGGAGTGGCTGAAAACAATTAGAAAGTTTGATGGTGTCCATGCTCAAGCTATTCGTAAACAAAAACCCATTTCCTTAACAACTTTTGATGTTGCAGGTAAGCCTAATAAAACTGTAAGTCATGCTTATATATATAACAAATGATGCTTAACTATTTTTTTCAGTTCCTTTTTCAAATGAAGAACGAAACATTATAAGTGAGTTGTCATTTGACGACATTCAGTATGATCGAAAACCATTTATTCTTGAAAAAACTAGAGTATCACGAAGAAACTGGATTAAGTCATCAAAACCGCCTTTTCATGAGTTTATTCGGAAATTTCCCTCATTAAAAGATTTAGGATTTGATGTAAGCAGCACTGTTTTTTTCTTTTGTAGTGTTTATCCTAATGTCTTGGATTACTGCTTCTGGAGTATTACTAGAGTAAAATTGATTTTTTGTTTGAGAAACATTTTATGACCCTTAATTATTATTATATTAGTTTCAGAGAGAGTTTACAGCAACATTTGAAAATGCTCAAGATTTGCTTATGCAATGGGAGGATATCGCTCCTCATTTTATTACTTGGGCTCGCAGAAAGGCGAATCCAATGGTAAAGCAACTACTTTTAGAGCTTGACAGCCAGCTAATACATTCAAATGGTATGTCACATCGTCTTCTTTAATTACTGTTTTTATATTTTATAGCTTTCACGAACTAAAACTATTTTCTTTATTCTGAAATATGTACTTTTTAAAAATCAAAGATCGAAATATGGAATTTGCATTTCATTTGCTTCCGTACATTCTTCAAGTGCCTCCTAGAAATAAGGATCGACCGTCTACAGCTGAAGTTGCAGCTCACTTTATTCGAATCTTTCCTGTAAGTTTTTTTTTTTAAGTTTAATTTTTCTAACAGTATGTACTATAACCTAGGTGAATAGTAATTTCGCTTCTATATTGTATCTTAATTATTTTTATTTTTACAAAGGACACTACACCTATGGAGACTATAATTGGTGCAAATAGACACACTTCGTTCATGCATCCATTTGTTATTACACTAGGGGCTCGAGGCAGCTTGATTCAGTCATTTATTTTTATAGAAGACAATGTTGTTTCAATTAGAAATGGCATGTTAAGTGCAGTAGACCGTTTACTCAAACTATACTTTGTTATCGATATTGAATATGTGCTAGAATGCAGACATGTTTTACATTTTTTACAACGTGTAGTTATGGGTATTAATGACGATTTGCCGTTATCATGAGGTGGCAGTGATCTGTCATTGTTTGTGAATCAAATAGTTAATGAAGTGGATAAACTTTTAAATGTTTTTATTTTAGTGGATACCACTATATTTTTTATTTTGTAATTTATATTGAATTTGTGATGTGTACATATATGTGGCTAAGTGTACCAAAACGGCTAGTTAGCCATATTGGTATAAACAATAAAATAACAGTTACCTTGTATAACAGTTATATATAATTGTTTGGAAATGTTTATTTTATCTTACTCAAAATATTTACTTTTAGACTAGAAGTATTTTCATTTAAACAAACACTTGTTACAGCTTATGTTTTATGTCGTGATTTAATTTATTTAAATTATGTTTAATAATCAAAACTTAGCTTAAAAAAATGGAGTTCTTATAAAAGTTTTAATAGCTTAACTTTTCATTTATTTCTGTAAATATATCTGATTAATATATCTGTAAATATATCTGATAATTCTAATTGTAATAATATTTGTAATTATATTGAAGCTATTACAAAAATGTTTATTTGAACAAACTTGAGCATTTTTTTAAAATTGATACTTTCGTTACTGCAAAAAACTTGGGAAAAAAAACATTTTGATTATCTTAAAATATTTTTAAATATTTTTACACCTTTAGATCATATAAAAGAAATAAATTTTTTCAAACAAAGAAGTCTATATAAATATTAAATCTCCGAGAATTTTCTCATTAAAGGCATCTTTCTAACGTGTTAGAATATTTTTTTAAACTATATATCATATTTTGTAGTGCGCCAGTTCAGGTTTTTGTACAAAACTATTTCAGGTTACCTGCTATCGCAGATGTTCAATTTCAGGTTATCTGCTATCGCAGATGTTCAGGCTTTTATAACAAACAGTTCAGGTTCAGATGAATTACCGGAATGTTCGTCTGGCACTTTATGAAGCAAACTAGTTCAGGCAAAACGCCTGAAGTTCGTATAATTTACCAATACTTTTCCTGAACTATAGTTCAGGTTACCTATCGTGGTTGGTTAGATTTTTTAAGCAAATAGTTCAGGTTCAGGTAATTTGCCTGAATATTCGTCTGGCACTTTTTGAAGCAAACTAGTTCAGGCAAAATGCCTAAAAGTTCGTATATTTACCGGAACTTTTTTAAGAGTTTACTGTATACCTCGAAGGACACTAGAATGAAGAATTCAACATTAGTGGTTTGATTTATATTTCCAATTTATATCATGATTTATTTTAATTTTTTAGTTTTCTTAATGTATTGATTTTAAAAAACTTGTTAAAGGTTCTGATGATAACATCATAATGATCTTCTTTCAGAAGCCTTGTCTATTTATCTTTGTAAACAAGGACAAAAATGTAAAAAAAATAAAAAATCAATATGCAGAAAGGATAGCTAGGGCTGGTACATTAACAAATCTTTTATAAACCTACATTTCTAAAAAAAAAAAAAAAAAATTAAAAAAGATGGAGGAGGTGGGAAGGAGACATGCCCGATACCTCACGATATCGATGGCCATGCCTCTTCTTATTGAATACTGTTAGATTTCTTTAATTTAACTGATTGTAAATGTGTTTTTAATATTCATAATTTAAAATAAAAAAGTTTATGTTGTAAATAACATAGGTGGCAAAATTTCCTTAAATTAAACTTTATTGGGATAATTTCGCCACCCCATTTTTTCTGTTCTAATTATTAAAAAAAAAAAAAATTAAAGTATGTAAAGTTTATAAAAATATTATTAACAATAAAAAAAAAAATACGTTTCATTTTTAATCGTTAAGTTACTTATATTGAAAGAATTAGTGGCGAAGTTACCGCCTCTTACAAAACAATTTTAAAATTTGTTTTTAAAATTATTCTGTATAGTTATTTTGTTTTTAAAATTTTAAAACTAAAATATTTTGAAAATAAAAGTTTTTAAAATTATTTAAGTCTATTCGAACAATTCTTATTCAGTTAAATCTAAAAAAAAGATAAAACTTTAGAATCTTACTATTGATGTCTTTACAAAGTTCCTGATCCAGAATTCCTGATACATGAAATATGATGTTGCAACATTGAAATATGATGTAACATTAAACAGATTTGACAGTTTTATAATGATTTTTAGAAGTTGAGCTGCACAACTTTTTTTTTCATGCTTTATCAAATTCTCGACACTCAATACATCTAATATGTATAAGATAAAGTATCATTCTGATAAAATTTTTTTTTTTTTTTGCTTAAGTTTTTATATTTAAAAAAAATCAACTTTCTCTATAACTATTGAAGCAACTTACGTTTTAGAGTAAACTTGTATACGGTCTTTTTACTAAGCAACACGGAGTAGCATTCAACTAGGAAGTTCACGCTTCCTTCCTTACCAATATTGCATATATGGCTTGAGCTGTGTGCTGGGTTTGAACCATGGACCTTCAGTTATGAAGCCAGAATTCAAACCACTACTCACTGCTGCTGTTCAATTTCAATTCAAACCATGTAAAATAACAATAAATTTTAGTAAGATAAAGGTGGATTAAAATTCGTCATATATATATTTATATAGGTTTACTGTAAAAAATGTAGTTGCTTCAATAGATATAAAAAAAGTGAGTGGAGTCTGGGAACAAAAAAGCCCTAATACTTTGGCCACAACTGCCCTAAACGTATTTTTTTTTTTTACCGATTTCAAATAAATTTATACTTATCAATAAATTGTAATTATCAATAAAAGTTTTAATGCAATAATCTCTTAGCGTTCAAAACTTTTGACTATACTCGGTAGTTAAGGCAATTTTAAAATATTACAGCGTCTGTATAATATTTTGTTGACTTCGATACATTTCTGTTAAATGATCAGGTCTGCGAATTATGAAAAGACGAAAAAAATTAAAATGATAAATTTGCGGAATCATAGAATATAAATGTTTATGCCAAAAAATACCCAAAACAATGGTTCTTTGTTTTTTAAAAAAAATTCTTCTTAAAATCACAATCGCTTGTCCAAATGTTAGTGAGATTTTAAATAAATACGTTTTTTAGGTAGAATGAACATTACTGTTTATCAATGTGATCTGTTTTGATCGTTTATTGGCAATTTTCTATAATTATTAGCTCTTTCTTGGTCGGAATTCTAGATATTTTTGTGAAAATTGATAGAAATATAGCATTTTGACAACTATATATAGTTAATATATTTCAGAACCGATTAGAACTAAGATCAATAGTAAATTAAGGAACTTTTTAAAAAGATTTTAACTATATTCATGTTAACGCTGATGAGCGGAATCGACCTAAAGACTCAAAAATGGTTTAGATTCACTATTATGGATAGTAACAATGTTTTGAAAATTATGAAAAAAAAAAAAGTTTGTTTAAGTATTAAAAAAAACTGAAGCAAAAAAAAGTTATACTATCTAAAGCTCTTGTTTGGATATAATACACTGATAAAACCATGCTAATTTCAAATAAAAGAACTCGAATAATTTGTAAATCGCCTTTTTTTTTTAATTGTTTAATTTTGCCGTTAAATAATACATACAGTTTCGAAGCATATAAATAAATATAAATATTGGCAGGGCAAGAAGAAGACTTGTTTAGCTTTATCACCGAGCCCCATTCTCACGTATTTACAAAAACCGTAGTACTTAAATATCTATAGTTAACGAACTATTTATTTAAAAAAATATAAAAGTAAAATAGGTAACAATTTAAAGAGTAAGAAAAAATAAATAAGATATAATCATTTGCTTAAAACTTAAAAATTTAAACTAAGATTTAAAAATAAAAAGTAAATAAATATACACCATAGAAATGATATAAATAAATTAGTACACTTCATACAAATAACGTAAATAAATTAGCAACCCCCATAGAGGTATTACCATAATTAAGGTAATGAAAAAAAAATGTTGATTCACTCAGTGACATAATTTTTGTAATTAAAAAAAACATTTAAAATCGGATATATTAAATATCCATAAGTAAGAATGCCTGTTTTGATTCATTTTTAAACTCCTCTCTACTAGTTTTATGTGTATTTACAATTTACTACGCGGAAATATTTTCCGCAAGTAAGGTCCAAGATAAAGAACTGAATATGAAATTAGTTTTGAATTATATTTTGGGACAACAAAGTTGTTATTTGAGCTATAGTTCTTGGTTCATACAAACATTTATTTTCGACTCTAACCATTTTTGGCAGAAAACTGTAGCATGCTTTTTGTTTTCCAATAATTTCTTTCATTATTTGCCATGTGCATTTTGCGTCATTTTTAATAGAGGTGCGGGATATCCCGGATTTGAATTTTTCTAAAGTTCTATAAGTGTTTATGAAGAAAAATCAAGTCTTGCCATTCTGCATTAAATAGTGTTCAAGATTTAAAAAAATAAAATCAAAAAAAAAAACTGGTGTAACGCAGGTATATGCGTTAATAATGCATAAGAAAAAATCATTTTTACAGCCAAACTTTTGTTTTTTCATTACTATTTTCTATACTTCGTCAGCACATATCCCATGTCATACAGCACATATCCCATGTCATAATGAATCATGTCATTTTTTCTTTTGATTTTTTAAAATAAGATCTTGAATTCTATTTATTGTAGACTAGCAAGACTTGTTTTATCTTCATAAACACTTATAGAACTTTAGAAAAGTTCAATATCCGGCATATCCGGCAATATCCGTTCAATATCCGGCATATCCGGCAAAAATATCAGGTACATCTCTAATTCTTAAAGGTAATTAGGAGTAAGATTTTTAAATTTTTAAAAGTAATTAAGAGTAAGATTTTTAAGTTTTTGCAAACTTTTTCAAATAGATTTTTAAAGTTCTTGTATATTTTTTTGTTTGCAGGTGTTTTTGTTTTTCAAAGATTTATATATAGTTTCTGTTTGATCTTGATGATTTTTTGAAGCACCGCCACTCTTTTTTAAGTGTTTCTTTTCTAAAATAATGAAAAAAAAGACTTGTTTTTGATAAATAATTGTGTTCACATTCTTAATAGTTTTTTTGATTAATTTAGTTTAGTAACGCCTTATGACATATTATTTTTGAAAATTTTTTATATAAAACCCTCCTTACAACCCTTTTTAAAGCGTTTTCCCTAAAATATTCCTAAATTAACTTCTTACATATATTTATTAGTATATTTAGCTATGTTCATATTATCAAACAGTTTTATATATAGTTTCTTAGTTTAAACTAAAATCAAATAGAAATTTATTCAAACGAAGTTTCACCTACAATTGCCTACAATAAATAATTGTAGACAATAAATGCCTACAAGCAAATAAATGATTGCTATAAATTGAAAATATTAAGGCAAACTGGGACTAAACTTGGACCAAGTACAAAGAAACTCAAAATTAATGTTATTTTTTAAAAAATTCTGACAAAATATATATATATATATATATATATATATATATATATATATATATATATATATATATATATATATATATATATATATATATATATATATATATATATATATATATATATATATATATATATACATATATATATATAATATATATATAATCAAATCTTCTGCATTTGATGCTGCAATATCAAACAGAGATGACAACATATTAGTAACACTAAGAATTTAAGCTGTATAAAATTTATTTTTTACATTTTTAATCAAGTTCTTTTCAAGATGTATCAGATTCAGTAACATTCTAAAAGTTTTTATTCTGTTTTGTTTGAATTCCTTCCATTTTCCAGAATATATTCACTTTTCCAAAAAATATTCTTTTATACTCGCAAACTACAGATACAACTTTTTTTTCACTAGTTAATTTCAAATAAAACCTTGTAAGATATATACATAAAGGCGTAAAACCTCTCCATTAGCTGGTAATTGACTAAATATCTTTGCTTCAAGGAGCGTCGGATTTTTTTTTTATAATTTTTTTTTCGTTGTTTTCTATAAATAATTAGAAAACATTTTAATGAATGACAATGAGAAATCTTCGTTTTTGTATTTAAGGTTGAAACTTTAGTATACGGAACAAAAATGCACTTAATGTTTTATTTTAACTTCTATTATTATAATTAATTGTAAACTATTTTTTACGAAAAAAATAGGATTTAGTTGTAGTTGAATTAGATGAAACTGGAAGTATTCCTTAAGCCCATAAACAGTTAGCCATGCTAGCTTGTACACGATTGCAAAGAAGATGCTCCGCAGTTATAATTATAATGGTAGCTGATCAAAATTTTCTTTGAAGCAGTCGACATTGATAGCACTGACAACTTCATTAGGTAGTGCATTTTATGGGTGAACACCCACAATGTTGTTGAAGAAGTTGAAGTAAACAAGAAATTTGTTGAAATATCTTGATAAAAGCGCTACTTTTTCAAGTAGTATTTGACTGTTGAAACAAAAGAGAGAATTATAGGGCTGCATTTTTAAGCAAATAAGCCGCCTTGCCTCTACCAGTACCCAGCCAGTTATCAAGTATTTGAGATTTTGCATCGGGTTTAAAGTAGACGAATTGTCTTCTTTAAATCTCGTAAGAAAAAATCAATTTTTGCTCAAATTGTTGGTGAAAATGTTAAAAGTTCACTTTTGATGCGTTAATGAAACTTACTGAAGTGAGGCTTTTGGTTTACAGTTAAGATAAGTGTTGATGTTGATTATAAACAAAGATTTCAAAATATAATTTTGAAATCTTTGTTTATAAACTAATTATAACTAACAAAACATTCTAGGTGTTTCTAAAATATGGATCGAAAGAATTTTTTCCGGTGCTCAAAATCCGTGCTAAAGCTACTAATAAAGGAGCAGATGAAGCAAAAGGGGTTTAAAACCATAAAACAAAGCAAAGTTGTTTTTACTAATTTTTTCCTTATAACTATGACCATGACGTCCCACTCAGTCTATGAGGGCCAAGCTCTCCTCCCCTATATATATATATAAATATATATATATATATATATATATATATATATATATATATATATATATATATATATATATATATATATATATATATATACATATATATATATATATATATATATATATATATATATATATATATATATATATATATATATATATACATATATATATATATATATACATATATATATATATATATATATATATATATATATATATATATATATATATATATATATATATATATATATATACTATATATATATATATATATATATATATATATATATATATATATATATATATATATATATATATATATATATATATATATATATATATATATATATATATATATATATATATATATATATATATATATATATATATATATATATATATATATATATATATATATATATATATATATATATATATATATATATATAGAGAGAGAGAGAGAGAGAGAGAGAGAGAGAGAGAGAGCAAATATTTCTATCTAATCTGGTTTAACATTTCAAGATTTACAGATGATTTTATTTACGTTGTATGATTATATACTCGCAACATTAGAATATATACATGGAAAGAACTTTGATTCATATACATTGAACCAACGTTGGTTTATACATATTGGATCAATGCTGGGTTTAGATTATAAAAACAATCAATTTTTGCGATGTTTTTACATACGTTGAACCAATGTAACTGCGCAAGCTATTTTTAATTGCCTCGGTATTAATCTTTTAATTTCCATCATTGCTAAACACATGATATTAAATTAACTTTGAGCTTGAATCAGAAAATAGAATGCAAATTCAAAGTTTTCCCAATGTGTATGTGTTGGCTTGGTAGCCACTACACAGCGACAATTCTACAACTACAAGGTGACTATAACTTTCTATCGCTAGAACAATATGTATACGCATTGCGCGGTTTTAGTTTCAGCCATTTTAGAGCAATATGTTGACAGCTGCATATTGCAGCTTTGGAGTTTTCTAAAACATAACTATAACTCTTAGGTAGACAATATTGCTATCTAAAAAACTGTCGTATTTATACACACAATTGTGGTATGTATACAACAAGCTTTTTAACTTATATACTAAGTAAGCTTAAAAGCTGTATTAGGTATACACGCCACAGAATTTTAGATAAGGATATTACTATTATCATTATTATTGTTATTATTACTATAATTATTATTATTATTATTGTTGTTAATTTTATTATTGTAACTGACTATAATATCAAGAAAGTATTTTTTTAATTGCTACTTAATGTAGTTTTGTAGCTATTAACTTATTTGTTTTTGATCAAAGTTCTAAAAAACTTCACATATAAAAATACACAATAAATATAAAAATATAATGTCCATACAATATAAAATATATAAATGCTTATAGTTGTTTTTATAAATATTGTTAACCTTACTAAATAACAAAATATAGATTTATAAGTACAAAAATTTTCACACCAAATTTAAAAAAGTTATATTAAGTTTATAAAAGCATCTTTTTGGTCAACAAAAAAGCTTATGATTAGTTTAATTTTTGCGCGGAGAAACGAGTCGACCGCGGTGCTACCAGGGACGTGTTGGGGATCGAACTCGGAACCACTACCGCTTTATGATAGTTTAATTTTTTTAAGTTTATTTAAATCATATGTTCGTAGGCTACTACGATATCTCTGATCTTTACAATGTACATGCGCGCATCTATATACTTATTGCAAGATTTTTCTTCCTCTAAATATACGATTTCTTTTTTTACTTTTTTACATTTATTTGCGTTTAAAGAGTTTACGAGTGTTACCTCCGTTATTTTTCTTGGAATAGTAACTTTACCAATAAGATCGGGTACTTCAATTGATTTTGTTTCACACACTGGTGCTTTATTTGTAAATGTATGAAAACTAACTAGGCTGTTTTTTGGATTTTCGTGATTTTGATTTGATTTAGAAAGATCTTTTATTGTTGAATTAAAAACATTGAAGTTTTCGAGTAATATCTTTAATACACGCGTAGGATCGTCATGTTCGTGGAAGGGACATGGTTGATAAATTAGTGGTGCTGTTTCAAACATTGCTGCCTAAAATTAAAAATATATAAGTATAAAACTTGCAAGAAAAAAATAAATAATAAATTAAATAAAAAGCAAATAAAAAAAGAAAACTGTAAAATTAAAATCTTTGTTTTTAATGGAATTTTCCAAAATTGCAAATTTTTTTCATTTATTATTAGTAAAAAATTTAAATTTTTAGAATAAAATTGATTTACATGATAGTTAAGTTTAATTCAGATTTTAAATTTCACAACTTGAAGCAAATTTAAAAAATTTTTAAAGTAAAAATAGAAGAGGTTACTTAAATATTTTGAAAGAAAATTTTAAACACGACAAAAGTAAAAACAAGAAACTCACCAATAGCGTGTAAGTTAAAAATGTAAATAGCATTTTCAATAAATTAAAAAATATTTTTTAATAATAATGTTAACTCCTTTTTTTATAGCTGAAAAAAATTTGACCAGGTAATTTTTATAGTTACAAAAATTTAATTGCTTAAGTATCAAAACAACAAATTGATCTAATTGTACTTAGCTTAATTGTATTGACTTTAAACGTATATTTTACTTTCCATGCTTGTAATTAGTTTAAGATTTTACTACGCAAAACAAAATAGTTTTGCGTAATTGCAACGAAACTAAATTAAGTATCTGCAACGCAATAACAACCAAGATGCAACGAAACTGCATTACGAATGGAAAATTTTGAAGTGTTAATAAGTGTTAAGTGTTACTATGCAAAAAAGTGAATTGTCATTATAAAAATTTTTCTCTATTTTATATATCTTTAAATTTTTTTTTTTACTTGAATTTTATTCATGGGCATATTCGTCTCTAATTATACTTTATATTTTAATTATATATTTAATTATATTAATTAGTGCGCTTATTTTCGCTGACAAAGGATTTCGATGAAGCTGAAACAAAGTGAAACCTTTGTTCTCCTTTAACTTTGACCGATTGCTTTTTTTAAAGTTTAATTCTAGAGCGGCAAAACAACATGATTGTTTTACAAAAAAATTTTAATTAGTTGCTTTGCTTTATGAAACCCTTGATGCATTTTTTGCATAAAAGGTTTTATAACATTCCTTTCTTTAATGTATTTAGAAAATAAAAGTTTCGTCAAATATTAATTTGCATAAATTATTTGAATTTAACTATGTTGAAAAGTTGTTTTGATATATTAGCAATATCACAAATTACCTGGTCACTATTTTAGTTTCTTTAAAAAAAATATAAACATTAATATTGATTAATAATAATTAATTTATAGAAAATACTATTAACTAGTCTAACTTACATACTACTAAAAAGTTTTTTATTTTTATTTAGGTAATCTTTTATAAAAATACTGAAAAGTTTTTTATTTTTACTTAGATAATTTTTTTAAAATAGTTTGGGGTGTTTTGGAGCCTTCGCCTTTAAGGCCCAATAAAAACACTAGCAAGCATCGAGTTCACTCTAATAATATTTTTTTTTAGTTAAATTGAATTCGATTTTATTTAATTCTTATCAAACAAGTTATACATATATAAAACAACTTTTCTAGCCTTTTTTTTAAGAGGTTTTGTTAACAAATTCATCAATTATATAATTGTAATCAAATGTTCTGGCTATTGCATTTTTTATCAACAGTATTGTTGGTCCTGAATTTTTTTCCTGTAAAATTTCAAACCGTAGAACATTTTAAATAATTTAAGTTGAAGCAGATATGTTGATTGATCAAATTATTAAATATACAACACAAACTTGAAAGACTAAAAAGGCGTTTATTTAAAAGGGAAATCGGAAAAAAACTTTGCAACCAATAGCGGCAGAGTATTTAAAAAGGGAAAGTTTTTTCAATAAAGCAAATTAATTCTATATTTTTAAATAATATTTCTGAATTTTATACTTTAACATATTAACTTACAAAAAGAAAAGAAGAGGTGTTAGAAAAATAAAAATTTAAAATTATTCAAAATTTTGAGTAATTACAAAATAGAATGTTCTTATAAGAACATAGCAACTAAATACATATTTATTAAATAAATCTTTTTTTTTTTAGCTTTACATGATTTATACTGAGTGTAGGCTATAAATTTAATAAAAAGATATGATTTGATATGACTTGTTTTGCTTATGGGCACAGCAGGTTAACATACCTATGAAAAGTAATGCTGATAGCATTACTTTTCATAGGTACGTTAAGCAAGAAATTTAACAAAACAATGATATCATTAAAATATATTCTATAAAATAATGACTAATAAAGTAACAAAATTGCCAGAGTAATAGCATATATGGTATTATCATTGTGATTTTTTTGTTTTGTTAGTTAACATTTTTATAGAATTCCGTCACAAAAAAAATATCAAGATTTGACAAAAGTTGATAACTGTTCTATGTAGAGAAACTTTACTGGTGTTCATAAATCAGCAGTAGCGTTCAAAGAAAAAGAAGTATTAAATCAGCTTCGTGTACAGAAGCTTATATGGATAGAAATGGGCCCTCATGTGTGAGAGTTCAGTATGGTGTCATATTAGGTATTTTTGAAGCACCATAGTAATAGCACAGTAATAGCATATATCCACTTAGGTGGATATATATGCTATTACTGTGGAAAGAAACTAAGTATACTTAGTTTCTTTCTAGTATTATTATTTACTTTTGATATATTTATCTTACTCAAATTTAGCCAAGATCGCATAAAGCTGTTATTTCATAGATTAACTTTAACTTAACTATGTGCATTTCCATATTACTATTTGTTTATTTTATTTTCATTATAACTTCCAGTAGGTTTAGTTTTATTATAACTATATCAAATGATATATATATATATATATATATATATATATATATGTATATATATATATATATATATATATATATATATATATATATATATATACATATATATATATATATATATATATATATAATATATATATATATATATATATATATATATATATATATATATATATGCATATATACATAACAGTTAAGGGATCAAATATGTATGTTAAACTTCCTTGTTAATAACCCTGTAATATACGGAAAAAAACACACACTAAAACTTTTTAGAAGTCTTACTTGTGGGTTTTTTATATTAGAGTAATAAAGTTATTATTAATAAAGTTTATTAATATAGTTTACTTATTACATTACTTAATAGCGAAAGGTTATGCGCAACATTGTTCTAACGTTTTATCAACGTATGTGTGGTAGCTGGGAAAGACCATCACGAAGAAAATCACGGAAAAAGTCCCAGTCAACTTTATGGCAGTTAAAAGAGGTACGATGGTACGGAGATTGTGATGATAAAGAATAATGAGATAATAGTTTTTGCTTAATTATCAGGTACAAAAAAACTTTGCTAAAACAATCCGAATTCTCAATAACTTACCGAAGGCCACATTTGTGGAACTTTTTTTTCCAAAATAATAGTAAAACTACAACTTCAATTTAGACTTTTAAAAGTATCTTAAATAAACATATTATTTTTAATTTTTATTTTATTCTCTTTTACTTTTTAACTTTTTCTTTCGTAAAAAAACGACATAGGCCTTTACATTATTACTTATCTTTAAATTGTATTTATCTTTTTTATCTTAAGTTGTATTGTATTCGAAAAAAAAAATGTAACACTTCATTTAAAAGTATTTAATATTACTTTACTGAGATTGTAATAATTTTTTTTTAAATGATAGATTATTTTTTGTTTAATATGTAAATGATACAACGGGGCTGGATGATAAGACTTTTTTCTTCTGCCGTCACATTTTAACTCAAAAATATTATTGTAAAAAATTTATTATGAAGATGACGAAATATATCAATTGTCTGGAGAGCGAGTTAAAAAGTTGGCTATTTGAGTTAAAGATTGAAGGCAAGTTGTGGGCCTTAACATTATTTAATAAATAACATAATTGCATATCAACTTTGTAAATATAAACTATACTTATAACTATTATCAGTACAGTTTATACCTTTTCAAAAGTTTATTTTCAATAACCTTTTGAAAAAGTTTTTCAAAATTTAAATTTAAAGAAAAATAGATTACTTATCTTTAAATTTTATTTATTTTATTCGGTTTTTTGAAGTTTTTAAATTTTATATATATATGCACATATATACATGCATATATATATATATATATATATATATATATATATATATATATATATATATATATATATATATATATATATATATAATATATATATATATGCATTTAAATCAGTGACGAATCTAGGGGGGGGGATGAGGTTATGCATCCCGCAACTATCAAAATCTGAAAGTCCTAAAATAGAAATAGGGAACTATCTTTTTTTTAAGAGACGCAAATATGGTACAATATACAAAAAAAAATTTCAACATAAACTCATCGCCCCCTCCCTCCGTCCCCACCACCACCAAAACTCCTGGGTCTGTCAATGATATATGTCAATGATATATATATATATATATATATATATATATATATATATATATATATATATATATATATATATATATATATATATAATATATATATATATATATATATATATATATATATATATATATATATATATATATATATATATATATATATATATATATATATATATATACATATATATATATATACATATATATATATATACAGATAAAAACAAAAATTGCATAAGGAGTTGACAAATACAGTTGGAAACCACTCAACAAGGTTCAGAAATTTTTAGATTTTTTAGGTTTACGATTGTACTGTGAATCACTCTCTTAAAGAAGTTCCCAAATGTAATCCCCCATCATATTTTTGTTATACTGCACTTGGTAACCACGCTCAAAGTCAAATATATCTTAATGAAAGCGTTCGCTTTGCTCCTCGGAGTAAGTGCTCATGTTTTTCTTGAATTTGTCGAGATGCAAATTAATGAAATGGACTTTTAGAGACATTCTGTATTTCATTTTGGCGTGATTCTTTTTTTTAGAGTCTGCACCAATTTCACATAATTTTTAGCTTTGTCACCTAGGAAACCTTAAACAGTTGCAACAAAACGGCTCCAGTTGCTCATTTTACATTGCTCTTTCCAACAGAAAAATTGATCCATTGTTGTTATTTCTTTGTGCGATATTGCGCCTTAGTATCACGGCTGTCTCTGAGAAACAAGGAGATTTTGTGAAACCTCCTTGAAGACCCATGAGAAATGATACCATTTAGAAGTCACCGATGACCTCCCATTTGTAGTTGTCATACTTTGATGCACTCAGCAACATTTGCACACTAGTGTAGTCCTCTTTGAGATGCACAGAGTGGGCCATCGGGAGAGACGGGTAGTTGTTTCGGTTTTGAAGCAACACGGCTTTGAGGCTCTAGGATGGTATCTATAAATAGGCGCTATTCAATAGGATTACATGCGACAAAGCTTTGTAAATTACAACTCCTTGAAATAAACTAGATCTAATGCATTGAAATTTTTTTTAATGCATTGAAAAATAAATTAAAACATATCGAAGCGAGAAGCAATTGTTCAGTTTACCTTTAAATGTTTTCTTGCAATATTCGCATGTGAAATGCGGTGCCCGAGATTTGTCTCGGTCCCCAATTCTGAAGTATATCTTTTAGGCCTCGCACAATATACGACTTGCTTCCACAGAATACTTTTTCGCTTTTGTTTTCATGA